TTAATGATGATGATGATGATGATGATGATGATGATGATGATGATGATGATGATGATGATGATGATGATGATGATGATGATGATGATGAAGATGATGATGGGGTGGTGGTCGTGATGATGATGATGATGATATGCTTTTCGTCGTCATCATTGTTTTCTTGTTTGTTGTTGTTGTTGTTGTTATTGTTGTTATAGCTGTTATTATTGTTATTATCGTTGCTGTTGTAGATCTAGTTGTTGTTGGTTTTGTTTTTGTTGTCATTCTTACTGCTGCTGTTAATTTTTATTTTTGTTGTTGTTGTTGTTGTCATGTTGTCAGAAGTGCACACATGGTTATGGTTACGTATGAATCTCTTATTCTAAAGGGTTTATTGCTTAATTTCAACCCTTTTAGTGGGTGGTTGGCGGGTGGTCTAGTGTGGTTTGCTTCTTCTTTCCTATCAAACATCTATCGTAATTAGCTCCCCTTCTTCTTTTTTATATTTATTACTCTCATGTAACACCTCTAATCTTCTGGCGCTCATATGACCTTATGCAGTTGCGAGCGCCGTAAAACCTCTACTAAAACTAAAACTAAACAACCCTTTTATCGTTGCAGCGCGACTTTACCCTGATCACCTGGCCCTGTGACACTCAGCTAAACGTTCTGTGTCGAGTTCCCAGGAACATCGAAGGTCAGTCGTGCTGTCTTGTCACTGAGAGATAGACATGTCTCAAAGTAATACGAACAAAGCAAAAAAAGGCTGTATTTTAAAACGTAGTAAAAGTCAATAAGGAGGGTGGGGAAGTGAAGAGAAGGGAAGATTAGACTCAAGAGAAGAAAGAATACGAAGAAAGAAAAAACTAGGATGATTCAAACAAAGAGGATGAGGAAAAGGAGGAGGAGGAGGAGGAGGAGGAGGAGGAGGAGGAGGAAAGTAAAAAGATTTTTAGACATAGAGCAGATGAAAGAGTGAAAAGGGAAGTGTATTAAAATTACTAGTATAGAGAGGAAGTGGGAGAAGAAAGAGAGAGGGGGAGAGAGGGGGAGAGAGGAGAGAGAGAAAAAGGGGGGGGGGAGGGAGAGAGAGAGAGAGAGAGAGAGAGAGAAAGAGAGAGAGAGAGAGAGAGAGAGAGAGAGAGAGAGAGAGAAGGAGAGAAGGAGAGAGAGTGAGAGGGTGGTGGTGAAATTCAGGGAGTGGAATATTGTCAAGAAATGTTCCAGTTGTGTGTGATAAAATCATAATGAATTATATAAGAGAACGTAAATGGTTTCTTTTTCCAGTATCAAGATCACCCCAGCTTATTCTGACCACGGGAAATGGATTCTCTAATCAGAGAAGCGCGGCGTCAGGAGTTGTAGAGCTTCCAGCTGCTACGTTTTCTGCCTCTGGCTCAGGAAATCGAGAAGGCCCTCTTGTCAATAACGTCACCGCTAGATTGCTGTGTGTCGTGCCCAGCTTAATGCCCGTAAGTGAAATTCTTCATAGTCTAGCCTTGGAAGCCTTTGTTTTTTTCTTTATTTAAGAAATTTCTTTTTTAGAATTACAAATCGTTGTTTCTTGACAACAGTACTTAACCTCTACTTTTTCTAGCTTCTGTTATCTTACGGTGACGAGGGGAGAAACAAATTGTAATGTCTTTCTCTTGTTTGTTGTATCGTCTCTTAGATGGTTATATTGTTTTTCTGTAAAGTTCAACCCCTTCTACCCATCTTTTTCTGGGCTTTCCTCTTCCTCTCTACCCATCTGATCTCTGGTGGTGTGCTTTCACTGCTATTATTATAGAGAGACACTCACACACGTACTTGCGAGCACACACACACACACACACACACACACACACACACACACACACACACACACAAACACACACAGCGAGCACTCTAACTTTCATTAATATTGTTTGTTCATTTACGCCCAGTCTTTGCTGGAGACGAACTCTAGAAGATTGAGCCTGTAAAGCTCGGCGTATTGTTCCTCGCACGAGAGGGCTTTTAGAATATATATCAAGAAATAGCTTTTAAAACAGTAGTATGCATTAATCTATTATATAAAGATTAAATCAATATTGCTTTTGGGCTCTGAAATGTGGGGCACCAAGAATTGAAACGTGATTAACAATGTAAAGGTAAAATTCTGGAAAGCCTTTATGGCTCTCGACAACACACAAATGCTTAGTTCTGAGAGAAGTGGGGAGAACTTATTATGTTCTGAGTATATGTATTGTGCCTTTAAATTCTGGTGAGGACTTGCACACTTAGAAAATTGCAGATTTCAAAAGAAATATTGCATACAGCTATATTGTTCTGTATAATTAAACAGTCAACTGGGTTGCTGAACTAAAAACATATTATTTTCCCTTTGTATTCAATTTCGGTGTTTGCTCTAGTGGAAAAGGCACTTATGGGTTTAGAAACAGCTGCAATTTTGTGCTGATGCTTACACGCACTCGTGACTGTATATTGTTTTATTACAACCTTCCATGTATTTGTGCACGTTGTAAGAATGTCCATCAACCAACTTGTGAATTCATTCGCTGTCAAACCACCATGTGCCCTGTGTCATATTAAGTAAAAGGAAACCTTAAGTTATTTCTCAGCGAAATAAAACGTAGGATTGTTATTCACAGTGTACATAATATAGAAGAAGAAGTCTGCTGCGAGTACAATCTCTCACAATTCTCTTTCAAGAAGAAGCCGAGTATATTATCAGCCTCCCACGGTATTGAAACCAAAGAGTTATTGCCTTGTAAAAGAAACTCACAACCAATTGAATAATTCTTTATCGAAGAGAATTAATAAACTCGCCCACATTATGTGAAAGATGTAACGGTCATGAAATTGTAAATGAATGTAACTTTATTTTTTACTATTCAATCTTAGCACATCAAATGAAATTATTCATTTCCTCTCATTCTAACCCAACCTGCGGATAAAAATCTACAATGTTTAATTTACACACAAAAAAACGGGTAGATCTATATGTACCACCTAGTTTAACAACGCAAAACATGTTTCTTGAACTGTTACTGATGTGTATATATTGTTTTATTTATTAATGATGTTTCACGTAGGTCCCTTATGTAAAAGGTGTCCGCTTCATGTTATGTGGGCCAATGGCCTTGACCACTGAATAAAATACCTGTCTACCTTAGATTATGCCTGACTATCTTCCTGTTTCAGACCCAGAGTGTCACCATTTACAGAGATGGCATCCCTGTGACTCAGGCCTACTTTCCTGACAGCGCGTACAACACTCCCCAGCAGTTCGAGATAGACATATCAGTTCCAGTGGTACGAGCCCCCAAACACTGTCCGTCTATTAGTAGCTACACAAGACACTGCGGTTCTCACAGAAACTGAAATAACTAGAAAATACTGTGCCTCTTAAACCCATTTGAAAACACGTCTTTTTAGACCATGAACACTGTCATTCTTTATCACCTCAGCAAATGCATTATGTGTGTGTTTGTTTGTTTGTGTGTTTGTGTGTATGTATGTGTGTGTGTGTCTGTGTGTGTGTGTGTGTGTGTGTGCGTGAGAGAGAGAGAGAGAGAAAGAGAGAGAGAGAGAGAGAGAGAGAGAGAGAGAGAGAGAGAGAGAGAGTGAGAGAGAGTGTGTATTGTTTACTTTAAATGCTTATTGTATAGTATTTAGAGCTTGGTTCCAATCGTGACAGAGTGATACATAAATGCTATTTGTTATTGTACTGTTATTGTTGCTATATGTTATTACATATGTGTCATGTTTTCAGAGGGGTCGGAAGCCAGTCTCTTAAATGATCTCAATTGTGGTGATGGTGGCATATAAATACCTATACATGTGTATTTACATATTTACATTTGCACTCTGTCATATTCCGGGTTCACTATCGAGGGCGCCTTTTGACTCAAGACGTGAAAGTTACGTGCGCATTCTACTCAAAGATCGTTCACTTCTGCAGCCTTTCTACTGCTACTCCTTAACTCCTTCTAACTGCTATCTTTCAGCCACACCACTGATCTTATGGTAGGTAAGATCTAACACCTAGCCTTCTCGGATAAGGGCCAAAATTCTTGCAAGTTGTGCACTTTTAAAACATCCCTGAGTGGTCCAAAATCGATAAAAGTAGGCTTTGGCCGCCACCTGGGCAAAATTAAGAAATTCCTACGAACCGAAAATGTAAATGTGTCCCGCGCGCTCATATGATTTCATGCAGTTACGAGCGTCATAAAACCACTTAGACCCCCAAAAATATATTCCTCCCAGCCCGAGTTAGCCCTGAGAATCAGGGTTGAGACCCGCCTCCTATTTGATCTAAACTGTGTCGAATGGGGTCGTTAAAAATTCTCCTACATTATTTCTTTTTAATGTGTGGTTAGGTGTACCCTTTTGCTTCAATCATCAGCTGCCTGTGATTTCAGGTACCCGATTTCCCTGACAGCTTTGACGTGGCTGATGCTATGACCACGTACCGCTGTGAAACAAATGACCTACGGAACAACACACTTCTTCAGTCCGACGAGCTTTTCTTTAAACTTACAAGTAAGTTGAATTGGGTTAAACAGTAGTTTATGGCAAGTTAGCATGATAACTGGTGGGTGGTTGGTAGGTACTCTGTTTTTGTTTATTCCTTCTTTCCTGTCAAACATCTATCGTCATTATCTATACTCCTTTTCTATGTGTGTTACTGTCAGGTAGCTCCTCTAATCTCCGGCACTTATGCAACATAATAATATACAAGTGTAATTGTGTTGCATGCGCTAGGATGCTGTATCCCTTTCAGCCCTGGTTTGCCCTGACTGGCAGGGTGGAAGCCCGTCTCCTAAGTGATCTAAATTGTGTCAATGGCAGCATAAAAAAACTTTTTTTTTTCAAGTAACGATAAAGGTGTACTCCTAGCAAGCAACGGACGGGAATGTGATTTCCATGTCGTAAGATGGATATTTAATCGGGTTTTTTCTGCTGAGTGTATTTGATACAGAAGAGTTTATGTATAGCACACAATTTGTTGCAACAACAAGTACCAAAGTTTCTGTAACGCAGCGACAGCTTCAACATTTCCAACACCTGCAATAGCTGCAGCAGCAACAACAGCAACAACAGCAGCAACAACAACAACAACAACAACAACAACAACAACAGCAGCAGCAGCAACAACAACAACAACAACAGCAACAACAAGGCAACACCATTTCAGTCCTATATTTTACAAATTATTGAAACTACGGGAATACCACCCGTCTCAGAAAACAGTACGTCATCTAAGGATTCTAAAACGTGGTCTTTCGACATTTCTGATCTCCCTGCCAAGACAAAAAGGAGACAGTCAAACGTTAATCCGATATTTTGTTATTAAATGTATTCCACCTGCTTTGCCTTTTCCTCCAGACTATGAGATCTACTCGTGCATCATACGACTGAGCAACGACTCGAAGTACTCCGAGCTTGTGTGGAGTTATTTCCAAAGATCCGCAAAAGGAGATTGGCCCTCTCGAGGCGAAGTGAAACCTGATTCTAACTTTCCTGCACCTCGTATAAACGACATCATCTCGTCTGGAAATCAATGGGGACTCGTTGTTGCGTCTCTGCAGACACTCAACAAAGTTGTCAACAGAACGGGTTTCAATGTCCGCCCTGTGAGCGTCCAGTGAGTACGCAAATCTCTATTATGCCCTTCCCCTCCCTTCCCCCTCCGCCCCCTTCCCCTCCAACATCCAACATTTCTCCCATCCAGAATATAAAATTATGTGCTGGTGTCTGGATGGGACACCATATATATATA